AATTGGAAGGTCGGCGGTTTGAATCCCCACAAAGGTGTGAGCTCCCGTCAAAGTGGAAGTAGATAAATAGGTACCACCCCGGCAGGAAGGTAAACAGCGTTTCCGTACGCTGCTCTGGTTTAGCCAGAAGCAGCTTAGTTATGCTGGCCACATGACCCGGAAAATCTGTCTGCGGAAGCGGACAAACGCCAGCTCCCTCAGTCTGTAAAGCGAGATAAGCGCCGCAACCCCCCGAGTCATTCACAACTGGACTTAACTGTCAGAGGTCCTTTACCTTTTTTTAGATTGGGGGGGGGAGAAACCCCTGCATATTTATTAATGAAAAGGCACTTCTCTGCATTATCTTTTAAACAGAATGAATTCCATGCATACATGTGTGACTTATGGGAGCACTGTTGGATTGTGGGTTTTTTTAAAAAAAAAAACCCCACATACAACAAACAGTGCTTATAAGGTGCCCAAACTGCTGAAGTACACATGCTAATCTGACGGTGGCCCATCACCCTCAGTGTGTTTTGTTTGCAAGGCAGCATAAGAAGCAGGTTTTTGCAAGATGTGTTTTGCAGCTCCTAGAGGGGATTAAATCAGGCTCCAAACTGAAACAGAGTCCTGTCATTTTCTTGGAATTGGGAGGCGTTCTGTTTGCTGTCCCTCATATATGAAACAGCATAAGAGCAAAGCGCAGGAACTGCGTCAAGCAGAAGAGAGCTTGGTCAGCAAGAGATTTTCAGTTGTTCCTTTACTAATCAAGGATTTACTGTCAGAGTACCTTTCCGCTTATCTCTTATACAGGAAAATTTGTGCCTGTTCAGCAGATTAAAGATAAGTCAGACTTGGAGAGGAAGGTGTCCTCTGTAGATCCTTGTCAAATACGCAAACACACAAGGTGGAAACCTTTTGCTATATTGACATTTAGTGCTCAATTGCTCTCATGTTCCATTTCAAAATACATTAAAGATTTATTCCAGGCGCACACACAAGTTGTTGAATACAAAAGGCAGCTGCTGCTGATAGAAATGTTTTACAATAAATACTTTGGTAGTGATGTTGCCGTGTTGAATCCAGGTTTAATTACGTCATTATCATAAGCACACAGTATTCTACAGTATTTTTGAAACCGAATGTAACTGACCTGTAGAAAGGAATATATGAGTTGAAAACAGAGATGTTGTATGTACCCTTCTTAACTATGAGAATTCTTTAATAAAAGCATTTTTTAAAAACAACAACAACACTGTTCTACCATCACTTAGATCAGAATTTCCCAACTTGTTTCTCCAGCTGTTTTTGGACTACAGTTCCCATGATTCCTAAGCACTGGTCCTGCTAGCTAAGGATGGTGGGAGTTGTAGTCCAACAACAGCTAGAGAACCAAGTTTGGGAAACCTTGACTTAGATCAAAGCATCATGTCCCAATGCAGGGTGTTTCATAAGCAACACTATTTTTCTACACCAGGCATAGGCAAACTCGACCCTCCAGATGTTTTGGGACTACAACTCCCATCATCCCTAGCTAACAGGACCAGTGTTCAGGGACGACGGGAGTTGTAGTCCCCAAACATCTGGAGGGCCGAGTTTGCCAATGCCTAGTCTACACTTATACCCCCTTCACACCTGCAGGTTGGCTGCTATGTTTCAGATTATAGCAATAAATAAGGAAAAAGCAGCAGTGAACACAGTTCCCTGTGACTCAACTGAAGGGATTAGAATAGAACTGTTTCATAGATGCAGCACTTTCAATTCTGAGATAGAAACTAGAAATCAAAGACTCCTTTTAGGATGGATTCCCTGCCCCACCCCCCCAAAAAACAATAAATCATACATATATTAACTTTCTCACCACCACCTCAATGATTTATCCACTCATCCTCTGCTCCGATGCTGCCTCCTCCTCCCATTTATCACATACTGTAAGATATCTTGCACCATCAGCGATCATGCAGCAAAAGTGATGACATCACAAGCCTATGCAGGCACCAGTTGATGATGTCAGCACCAAAACATCCTTCTATATGTTGCCTGACTACCACTACTATCATCCCTGAGCATTGGCCATGTTGGCTGGGGATGATGGGAGTCCAACAACATCTGGAGGAAGGCAGGTAACTGTAACTGTTTAAAGAATAACAAAATGTATGCACCGCCTACTACTCAAACCAAAGACCTCTCAGTGGTTTATCCTTGCTCTTGCTAGGGAGCACCCGCATCCATTCCTCCGCTCTCTCCATCTCACAGTGCCCACAAAAACCCAAAACAATAACAAAATGTGTTGGTGCCCTTGCCCTTGATGTAACCCAAAAGGCTGCTATGACATAACTTGTGGGGAAAGCTGTTTGCTTTGATTATTTGCTCCTTGTCAGTGTACATTTCTCTCACAGATGTCAAACACCGGATGACAAAAAAGAAAAGAAAAGAAAAGTCACTTTCAACTCTCTTTTTTAAGGACATGGCGGCAGGTGTGGGGAGGAATCGGACCCAGAGGATTGCTCAGTGTCATGCGGTAACTCTCCCCAGTTCCAATCCATTGCCTGAAGATGATATAAAATTGACTGATAGATGCTAACCCTCTGTCCTACTTGTTTTGCTGATAAGCGTTGTGTGTGTTTAAAAATGTGGCTCGCTTTCTTCATCCCCTGAGATTGGCAATGCTCCTGGGTGGCACATAGATAGGGACGATAATGCCTTTTTGTATTAGTAGTGCTGAGTGGCACTTTTCACAGCTGCTGTCTTCCTTCGGAGCCGAGGGGGAAACATTTTTATGGCCTGTCATTTGCACAGGGATTTCTTCAACTCCTGCATCGGAATATGAAGCCAAATGATGAGAGGATATGAGCAACGATTTTCCTTTCAACAGGAATGATTTGTCAGAGGAATACTTTGCATCAGTGTGCCGTATATGCTGAAGGCTGAGGGGAAAGTACCCACCCTCATGATGAGGGGGAAAGTGAGGGGTGCTACGAGACTTCACAGGCAACAGGGGAAGCCCTCTAGGGTGTCATTATGTCCATGGGCACCACTCTGGCAACTCCAGCTCTAAGCATTGGGGCAGAGTGTTGTTAGTTAGAACACCTGTGTGTGTGAGAGAGGGGGGTACACCTAGGCAGCTAGACTGGTGACTGAGAGTGGCCGCTGGAACCACATAACACCGGTCCTGAGAGATTTGCATTGGCTCCCAGTACGTTTCCGAGCACAATTAAAAGTTTAAAGCCTTTAAAGCCCTAAACGGCCTCGGTCCTGTATACCTGAAGGAGCGTCTCCATCTCCGTCGTTCTGCCCGGACACTGAGATCCAGCACTGAGGGCCTTCTGGCGCTTCCCTCATTGCGAGAAGTGAGGTTACAGGGAACCAGACAGAGGGCCTTCTCGGTATTGGCGCCCGCCCTGTGGAACGCCCTCCCTTCAGATGTGAAGGAAATAAGCAGCTATCTTCTCTTTAAAAGACATCTGAAGGCAGCCCTGTTTAGGGAAGTTTTTAATATTTAATGCTGTATTGTTTTTAACACTTGATTGGAAGCCGCCCAGAGTTGCTGAGGAAACTCAGCCAGATGGGCGGGGTATAAATAATAAATTATTATTATTATTATTATTATTATTATTATTATTATTATTACACCTGTTCACCTTCACTGATCTGCCTCTGTCTTCATCTACTGGTGAATAACTAGTTTTCGCTTAAAATCTGACTGACTTTTGGTTTGTTCATACTGTGTGATCTGTGTTGTGTCCTGAGGTTCTGAAACAGCCTTTCCCAACCTGGTGCCCTCCAGATGTTTTTGGACTATAACTACCAACATCTGGCCATCTGGCGCTGATGGGAGTTGCAGTCCAAAACATCTGGAGGGTACCAGGTTGGAAAAGGCTGTTCTCTAAAACGATATCCACATATCTCTTCAAATGGTGTCTTATCTGTGCTGTGAATATGGGGGGGTGGGGGGTAGCAGGATATATTCTCGTTCAGTGCAATGCAATTTACAAAATGGTTTCCAAAGTGCCCAAAACATGTAAAGCATTTGCTTGGCTAAATCAATATTATCATTCTCTTTTCTTTTTTGCATGTGTATTGTTAGGTAAAAATGTGTGCAGAATTAGTCAGAATATAGTAGCAGGTGGAACCCCCACAGTGCTTGTTGGTAGTGCAAAAATTGCAAATGGAAAAAGGACTCATTAGCGCCCTATGAAAAAATTACAGGATATGGCCTGGCACAATGAAGTCCCTCTCTTTATATATATAAGATTACAAATACCTTTTAATCAGTGCATTGTGAGCTATTCTGTTAAAAAGGCATGTCACCATCGCTAGGTTTATTATACAGTTCTGCTTTTGTCATGAATGTATTAAGGACATGTGTATTTTCCTCAAAATCCGCTTTTGAAATTCGTTGACTACTAGGGAATGGAGACAGGCACAGTAGTTTTCTAGTCCCAACGGTGATAATTTATGGAGATTCAGGCCCCCAAATGTCTAAGAACTAAGGAGAAAAGTGGAGCCACGTTGATAGTTTTCAAATATAGAGCTTGGCATAACATTATTTGAGACTTTGGCATATTTGTGCTTGGCAAAATCTCTCCATGCAGAATGTGTGTTTATGTTATTCAGGTAATCTCATGTCTCCAAACCTGGATGTTAAAGTAAATCAGCCGGGAGTAAACTGAATTTATTCAAAGGCAAACAGTGAGCTTAGCAGAGCTGTCTCAGATGACAATGAGCAATGAAACAAAATTTACAGAAGTTGAATTGTGAGTTGTTTTCTTTTCGTGTTGGGTTAAATAATGGTTTAGATTAATAAATTTCCCATGTGAATCACCACCAAACCAAGAAGCATAGGTTATGGTGCATGTACTATATAAGACAGATATACCGGTATTTATGTAGCATGGCTATTATTCTACAGTAATGAGCCTAGAAGTATGCATTCCTAATCAGTTAGAATCATAGAACTGTGGAGTTGGAAGGGACCACAAGAGTCATCTAGTCTAACACCCTACAATGTAGGAATCGTTTTCCCAAAGTGGGGCTTGAACCCACAGCCCTGAGATTAACAGTCTCATGCTCTACCAACTGAGCTATCCCAGGAATAGGCTCTGAGACGATAGCGAATACCTAAGAGACTAAACAAAAAAAATTCCTTCCAGTAGCACCTTAAAGACCAAAGTTAGTTCTTGGTATGAGCTTTCGTGTGCATGCACACTTCTTGCACACGAAAGCTCATACCAAGAACTAACTTAGTTGGTCTTTAAGGTGCTACTGGAAGGAATTTGTTTTGTTTTGACTATGGCAGACCAACACGGCTACCTATCTGTACCTAAGAGACTGTTTCTGCTCCTTCCCCCTGCTTTGGGAAAGGTAATTATTGCCGCTTCAGTACTGATTTCCATTCCTCTTTGCCCCTGTCTCCCTTATTTTTCTGATCATGCCCTCTTCCCACACATGGCTGAAAGGCAAGCCATTTACACTTCAATTTGCCTTGTTGCTCTTGGTGTTATGTACTGAAGTTTTCACCCTGGGCCAGCAGGGGGATACTGTAGATAGTTTTCACTCAGGTCCACATATGCAAATAAGGAATTGAAAATGACTGGATAGTTACAGAAAGTTGTTACTGTTGCTTTGTAGTTCAGCTCTATATAAGCAAGTTGGCTGAACCCTTCAGTTCAGTTCTGTTCTGTGAATAAACAAGAGCTGTTTGAAGAATCGCTGTGTCGTCTGATATGTTCACCCACAGCTTAACACTTTGGCCTGCATTTTGGTCTGTGAGATTCCTGGCATCTTCCCCACCTCCATTTTTCTTTCTTTACTGTTATCCATAGAACTAGCCAATCAAGCTGTTGGTCCAGTTAGGCTAGTATCTGAGAAGCCTTTGCATATATAGCTGTATCTGCTAGCTGTTTCTCTGTTCTGTAAAACATATGCAAACCCAATTGAGTGTCTTTCCATACCTATTTTCCTCTGTAAATTGTGCAAAACAACATCCCCGTGGCATTTTGTGACTAAAGGCCCAATATCCTTGAAATCACATGTTTAGAAATTACAGATCTTGATAACACATGGGCATGTGTTAATACTCCTCCCTCTGGAAGGTGGTAAGAACTGCTGCTCTTCCTCCTTGCCAGCGGCTGTTGGCTTGCTTATCTATTGGCACTCTGGGCAAAGAGGTGAAGCAGTAAGGAGGAGCTGTAACTGCCGACTCCTGTTCAGTTGCTACCTCACTAGCTGCTGGACAAACAGACAGCACTCGAGGGGAATCACTGCAGAAGGGGTGAAGGTCCCTGCAAAACCCATTTCCAGTGTTTTACAACCTGTTTTTGCAGTCCAAGGCAGGCAACAAAATGTCTACTGAGCTATAGCAAGCTGCCCTATATGATTGGTGAGCTGTGTTCAGCATGGTGGGTCACAAGCTGTGCGTGCCTGAGTTAAGACGGGTAGACTCCTAAATGTCATTGCTCATAACGCAGCAAGTTACTAGCATTAAAGAACCTAAAGAAAGCCTAAAGTGTGTTCTGTGGACATTGTTGACCCTCATAGTTCTTCATAACCCCACCAATACTAACAACAACAAATGTCAGAAGGCTCAGGGATTTCTCCGTCGTATTTATTACCAGGGACAGAACTTCTGGCTATATTCTATGCAAGGCTAGTTCACCTTGTGCATTGAATACTTGCCACTTATTTAGCAACCAGCAGGGCTTTTGGATACCCCCTCCCTGCCATGGTGTTACAGTGATTTCAGAACTATAAACTTGAATTACTGTCCTGGCATTTCAAGGAAATTGTGGTGTGTAGCCTAACGGCTTTTAAAAAAATCCCCATACCCCCGTAATTTTATGGCAATCTGCATTGGTCTGCCAAACAGTGGGTAAAAAAATGTCTGTCCTTGTAATTCTTTGGTGTCTCCCAAAGCGAAGGCACCTTTACCAGTCTGCTTCTGAGATTTATATAGGTAAGGTCCACGATCAGACTGATGGATGAGAGACATATAAGCCCCCCAGCAGAGGGAGCAATGTCAATGTCACTGCTTTTGCTTTTATGTGCAATAAGAAAAGGGTAGCTAGGAAGCCAGATCTGAGTGGGCACAGTTCATTGTTTCACTGCATGAGATCATTAACTGGCCTTAGGCAAGTCTCACCCACCAAATACACAAACATACACCGCAATATATAAACAATAATACTTGCCTCTCTTACAGGGTTATTGTCGGGGTAGCTGGAATACAGTATGTAAAGTGATTTAAGTGTTTAAGAAAAGGTGCTATAATATTTTCTTATTTATTCATTTTGCTGCAGAAGATTAAAGTCATACAGTCCCATTTGCAGTCTAGTTAATAAAACAACCCATGGCAGGGGAAGGGGGGCGGGGGCAGCGGAGTGGGAATGAAGGCAAGAAATCAAGAGGAGGAAGAGGAAGCTGTACAAAATTATGGGAAGGGAAAGCCAATAAACACGTTTTAACTCTGTATATGACAAAACAACTTTTAAAATCACTACAGTGACAAGGACTAAAGTGTGAATGACAAATGATAACAAGGCAGTTAAAATACAAGCTCAGCTATATACGTAACTAGGCAGCCATTGCATGGAGATAGCACCTAGCCATGTGTAATTGTAAAACTGCCCTGTGAGGTCTCAATCCCTTTTTCTCGCTTCTGACCACTCTTGGGTGGTTTGTGGAGGGTGCAAGGAGGTGATGGCTGTTAAACACATTTGCACCATCTACCGCAGGCAACTTGGGCCCAGATCCCCAAACCTTTTAAAATATGACAGTCACACATTGCTTGAGAAGCAGCCCTGACTGCATGCCAGTTTGATCTAGTCAGGCTAAAAAACAAGCATTACTTGTGTTGACAGTCTGGCTGTGTGAGCAACACCAATAAGCGACAGCATCTCAGACATGTTGACATTGCTTCCTGAGCCACGTTAAAAGATATTACCACTTAACCTGCTGAGCAATGCTACAAGTCATACAATGCAGTAAATGTGCAGGTATGTCAGCAACAATTGCTGGCGGCCGGCTGGGAATAAGACACTGTAGTAGACAGAATGTTCCCCCCCCCTCCAAAGGCTATACTAAGCTGTCATTGGCACATGCTTTTGAGGAATATCAGCTGTAGGATTGGCTCCAAGTTTCCTTCCCTATTGGTAAGTAACGAACAAAGGGTGGTACTCAACTACGTCATGCTCAGAGTAGAAGCCTACTCTACCTCATTTGTCAGACCACATGATTATGTTATTATAACCCTGGAAATTAGCCGTATGAAACTCAAGTGTGTAGACATGCATAGGATTGTGCTGTATGCCTCTGGTCACCTCTGCTCTGTCTCTGCTCCTGCCAACCTAGCACTTCGAAAGCATGCCAGTGCAAGTAGATAAATAGGGACCGCTGCGGCAGGAAGGTAAACGGTGTTTCCGTGCGCTCTGGTTTTCATCACAGCGTCCCACTGCTCCAGAAGTGGTTTAGTCATGCTGGCCACATGACCCAGAAAGCTATCTGTGGACAAATGCCAGGTCCCTTGGCCTGAAAGCGAGATGGGTGCCGCAACCCCATAGTCACCTTTGACTGGACTTAACCCTGCAGGGGTCCTTTACCTTTTTTACCTTGTACACATGGACACAGCAATCTTAAATTGGTGGAACTCACACTAGCTTAAGTTAAGCTGGTGTAAATTAACCCTATTTCAAACTCCATTCAGGAGCAGGGCTATTGGCAGCTGAACCAGCCCATGCCAGACAGAGACAAAACAAGCCTTTAAAATACAGATTGACTTACACCATTCTTTTGGCCAGCCTATGTTCCACCAGATTGTCAGGTTACTTGATTAACCTGAAGGAGGTTTGGAGTAGGTGTAACTCTGTCCTTGCCTCACCACACCCCCAGAACGCCCCTTTTGAGGGTGAGGGGTTATACCAGCTTATGTTCTGCTGACTTAAGTTCTGTTGTCTAAGCCCTGGATGAAGCAGAATTGAGGGATTTATACCAGAATATCCCCAGTGAACCAGGCTGCAGGTGTTACAGTGGTGTAGCCCTGGCTGAACCCTAGCATAGCCAGGACAGCCCAAGATCTACCAATTCCAAACTCACTCATCCCAGCAAATCTTGGGTTTGGATTCTGCTGTGAGCTAACAAATTAGATAAGCCAATGTAAATTTCTGGTATTGTTGTTGTGTTTTTTTGTGTGTTTTTTTGGAGGGGTGTACATTTAAGTTTTTTTTGGGTGTAGCTTGCTTATTTCTTTATTTAGACATTTTGTAGCTGCATACCTGTAGTGTGTGCGTGTGTAATTTTAAAAAAATAAAACCAAATACAATTAAAATAACTTCTTATAAAAACACCAAAGATATCACTGAAGCTATTTTTATTCATAAGCACCTACACATAGTTGCACCATGTTCATAGCATTATATCCTACAGAGACTGAAATCCTCATAATTCCTTTTTTTTGTAATCAGAATTTACTTCACTGGGGATTTGCACCAAAGGAATAATCCGATGCCTGGATGTGAGAAAAGGGGTGGGTGAGTGGGGATTTTGTCTAACTTCTCTCTTGACACAGATTAAAGGAAAACTGATGCTCTCTTGATGGAGGGTTTCTTAGCTACTTGGAGCATTGTTCAAACAGCCTTTGGACTTGCATCTTGCAGCTTCAATCACATAGAAAAGGGAGAGTTTCTGAAAACTTAAATATTGGATTAGCCGTTATTTCATTCTTAGCATGCTGTGAAAAATATATCCGGAGTCATTAACAATACCTTAGCATAAATGGTTATGCATTAAAATATGAAAGGTACCGCATAGCTTGTTGTGGCATACAGCTGAGAAAATGGTAGTGGCTTAATGCACAGCTTTAACAAATAAATAATTCCATGCTGCATAATGAGCTTCGAAATATATATTTCCAGCTCTGTGACTTAAATAGACCCACAGCTAAAGAAAGATTGAGTGAGGTACTATTCTACCTGCACTTACAATTTATACCCTACCTCACCTTCCATTGCCATGTTGCAAAAACATGTTAGATTTCCATCCCTTACAGCTCAATCCTGGGGCTTACTCTCCTGAGTGAACAGAACAACCTTTCTGCTTAAG